GAAAGGGTTCCYCAGCACAGTGACATTCTCCGAAACACCTTTCCCCATTGCTTCACTACTGTGTCTCAGGCCAGTCACTCCCTGAGAGGACCAACCCTATATGTAATAATAATTCCTTCTAATTTGTTAATGATGCTAGTGGTAAACAAAGTCACYGTGCAGTCTTGCATGACACACAGGTCCTGGTTGCATTTGCACAGAGATAGGAATCAACAAAATGAGAGGAAATAAATCACCTTGTTTCAGGAGGGAAGATTATACACTGTAGACTTTTGCTAGCAGAAATGCTCCAAATTTCTGAYGGAAACTAGTGGAAAAAACAGGCTAAGATGAAAGACTGTAGAGTCAGAAGTGATGTGGAGGTCGGAAGCAAGGAAGAGAAGTTTCCTTGGAGTAAAATGTCCCACASACTCTGAGCTCTAGCAGCAGGGAATTGTTGTCTGCCATAACGTGCTGTCTTGCATGAGTACTTGTTTTTTTCATTATTCCTTTGCTTGTAAAGAAAATTGTTTGATTTTTTTTAAAAAGCATTTTCTTTAAGTATTTGATGAGCAGGGGGAAAAATTATTTGCATTTTAATGTTTTAGTGTTGATTAAAGAATCTGGGAAATTATTTTTATTAATTAAATGCATCTCAAGAGTTACCTAGTTTGACCAGTGGAAAAAAAAAACACACAGCAAAAAGAAAATAAAGTGGGGAACGGGGTACTGCTTTACTGTTTTACTCCCCGTGGCCAAGCTCCGGCGCTGCCTCCGAGCCCTGCTCCAGCACGGATCCAGCCCCTGTGCGGGCGGATACATGTGCCGCATCCCAGCCCTGGTCTGTGACTAACACAAGTGACTCAGGCAGCAAACACAAGTGGCCATTCACAGGCTGTGCTATTAATGCCTCTCTTTTCGTGCTATATATATACAGTTCATCATCTGCTGCTGCTGACTGCATCTGTAAGGGAGAGATTGCACTGGGCAGAACTGACCCTATTCATGTATTTCCAAACTCAAAGTCCTCCTGGACAAGAACCTCTGCACAAATGCCCCCTGGGATCATCTCAGACTGCCCTGCATCCCCTCCTGCTTCCCTTGCAGGAACTGGATCCCACTTTTTCATGGCCAGCATTTTATCAGTAAAACAAAGACGAGGGCATTGGTGGCCTGCCATGAGCCAGGACGGGCTGCAGTGACTGAAGTCACAGCTATATGCCCTTGTGATGCATTATAAATGGTGTGTTATCCGTGTCTGTGAGGAAACACGGGAGTGCAGAAAGTGAAACTGGAAATTGGTGAGCACAAAACCCAAGCAAGTGATTCAGCCTGTGTGGAAAAACAGATCTCAGCGGGGCAGGTCTGCAGTCACCCTAAATTAGGTACGGCTGCAGGGGCTGATCATTTTGCTCAGTAGCAACAATATCTGCCTGTCTCGCAATCCTGAAAAACATACAGGGTAAGAAGGTCACATGGACTGAATACGAAACGTAGCTCCACAGATCCCTTCCCTCCCAGGCCTGTCTGATGGCAGGAGAAGGTGCAATTATGTCCTGCCCTGTGGACATGAGGATGAGACAGCAGGGAGGATTTTGGCTGGTATTTGAAGACAACAATATAACAACAGCAATTAGCCAGATTTCATCTGGCCACATTGTCTTCCCTCCTCCTTTCACCTTCAGTGGTGCTCAGTCCAGAGGGCGTCTCATTGACTCACATTTCTACCTTCTCTCTGCTTGGAGGGCTCAGTAAGAAACACGAAGAACATTGCCACCTTCCCACTGCTCACTGACAAGGGAAAAGCTCCTAATGGTAATGGGAAGCCTCTCCAAACAGCCTGAAACTTTAGAACTGGCAAAGAAAAAAAGAAAGAGTGAAAACCCCCCAATGTCCCAGCTGCCTCATCCTAGCTTGTGCAGACCCTTTTGAAAATCCTGAGATATCTCACAAAGTACGAGGCATGAGGAAAAATATTGTATATGTACACCTTGTAATCATGTTATTATAAAGCCATGGAGAAGTTTTGGATGTGAGTTGTCCAAGAAGGGAAGAGACAGAGAAGTCAATTTGCTTTCAGTCAGGAGCATGAGTCTAGAATAAAATCAGCTAGTCCAGGGGGCTATAGATACCCCAGGCAAGTTTGAACATTTTATTTACAGTCTTGCACCTACATCTCGGAGAGCTTGCAAATCTAAGTCCTTGCATCAATTTGAGGCAGGAGGAAAAGTGCAGGTGCCAGCAAGAGCTTTGAAGATGTTTGCTCTCTGTGGCACCTGTCTAACTTTTCAGTAAACKTGGAGGAAGAAGGAAGAAGAGCTGTGAGATGGAGGAGCAAGAGTATGGTTGAGATGGTCTCAGGTAACTGCACGGAAAAGTCTCAGTGAAATTCTGAATGACAGCTTGGAAATGAGATTAGACTCAGCTAGTGTTAAACCTCTCTTTTCTTAGTTTAGACTTTTTAAATCTGGGAAGCTTTAACTTTTAGCAAGGGAACAAGTTGTAACAGAGCCGTATTGCAGAATAGCTCTTGGGATGCCTATGAATTAGAACAAGTTTGGAATCAGTGGAACAAGGCCCACTGTAAGTCAGGGGATTGTCCACTCTTCTGTAAAAAGAAAGAAGCCAACCTGGCAGAAGTTACCCGAAGCCTTACCTTTAAGACAACCCATGACTTTTAAGAAATAGTCATGATAGGCCCCAAATGACCAGGCAATAAGCAGAGTGGGAAAGCAGCGCTAGAGTCATGGATGAATGGTGGGACAATGGATATTCGCTCTGCTGATAAAGCCAACGGCAGACACCTGTGAGCTGGGAATAGTCTTCCTTCACTGCTAGATTTCCTTGGCTACCTGACTTAATTCAGTGGCCTTGTTTTTTCTTTTTTTTTTTTTCCCTTGATAACTTCTCTGCTTCTGGTCAAAACAGATCCTGACAGGGAACACCCACCTGCTGGGTAAGGTGGGATTGGCAGGAGGTGACAGCTGAGAAAAGCCATGGTACACTTTAGTGCAATATTTGCTTGAGGAATTCAAGTCAGATACAGGGTAGATCTGGTCAAAGCTTGGCTTCAGACATCTCCAACTGGTCCGAAGGAGCTGTATGGCAGACATTTCCTGAGCCCTCAGAGATGGACACCAACAGTGGAAAGGAAGCTGGAATTTGCTGAGTTGAGCAAAGTGGAAAGGAATCGAAGGGAGCTGGTACTTCAGGTATGTGATTAAGACCTTTCTCTTGTGTATTTTCTGCCTGACAACTGCATTTCACAAATATTATAGCAATTAAATTTACTGGGAAGAGATTAGATGAAGATTTTGACCATGCAGCAAGCAGCAGATGTAAAAAATGGGCTCAAAGATCTCTCTAGCCAATGTGCTTCAAACAGCGCAACTCCAATTTCAGACCTTGAGTGCTCACAGCAAAAGTTATGAAAGACCAGTATACAGAGGAACCTCAGCTGGAGAATTCAAAACTATTGCTGTTCTTTTAGAAAGCTGGAAAATCCCTAGCTCTGCATAGAGTCTGCTAATAACTGTCAATCATGAAAGCTTTAGGCTTTTAAGTGGCACTTTGCCAGGAGAAAGAAAGGTGGTGCACATCAAAAATATTGTTTCTATTTTGACCGCACCTGTTGACATTGACCCAGCAGCAGATGGAACATGTCATGTGTTTTATAACAAATACTATGTCACTCTGCGCAGCCCAGATTGCAGGACTTTCCATAGCATAATACACTGCAAGTCCACCCTTTCCCCTCCCATGTGTCTAATGCAGTAACTAAAAGATGATTTCAAACCCACTGCTCCTTCCTGGCGGACCCCCAACCATTGCACACATCTGCCTTCAATTCCAATTGGTCCCATTCTCTATTTAAAATGAGGATAGGGATATCACTTAGGTATAGGCACAAGCAAGAACGTGTATGCCTTGGCTCAGCTCATCAGTGATGGCTTGAGGTGGAGGACACTCTAAGAAATTAGGTTGCTGTTGCAAGCTTTTACACTAAGTCACACCTTTCCCCCAAACTCTAGGCTGAGCGAGCTGTGCAGACTGCAATTGTGGAGGGGTGTCAAATAGTATTTACTGAGAGTCATCATGAATAAATACCAGATTTAGGACTTTTCCATGGTTCATTGTAGTATCCAGGTAAGGGAAGCAGCGAGAATTGYTGGAGAACTGTCTTCCTCAAGCAAAGGCAAACTTTTATTCTGATAAAAATACCTGCACCCAATGTGCTGCTGTCTAGAGAAGACGGAATTTGTGTAACATATATGACAGAGGAACAAAATATGGTGTAAACCAAGGCCTCAGGAAGCTGTGATCCAACTTACATATTTGGCCTGTTTAATCCAAGGATGAAAATAATTACACAAAGTAAGTCTAAGCAATCCCAGAAGGATTTGAACATATGAAATACAGTCATTGCAAGGAACGGAAGGAAGGGAGAACTACACCAGCTTCAGTTCCCTTTGGTTTCCTTAGACTCATGTGTGAATTTGGCCCAGAAAACTGTCTGGCATCAGGGATGGTGATCATTCATCCCATTCTATTTACACAAGAATGTGGGAAGGGCTTAAAAATGCTTCTCTTCTCCCGTCTGGGGGCCTGGGTTGGTGCCAGTTAAGCCCAATGATTCATAACCATTTCGAGAAGCTCCTTGCCACTCTTTCTAGTGCAGGCATTTGTAAAGAGAGCAAATGTACATACTACATGCAGCAGCACGTAGATGGCTGTGCCAGGACAAGGGGACTCTATCTTGCTGTGACAGCAGTGAGAGGGAAATAAAGCAAACTGGTCATCTCATCACACCCATCCAGCAAGATTTCTCCAGTCCCAGCAGCTGGTGATCAGAAAGGCTGATCTCACATGCAGCAGCGCTTAACGCGCTCTTTGAAGCTGCCTCTTTCCAGCGCGCCAGGTCCCCTCTCCCTCCGTGCAGGTGCAGGAGGAGGTGCAGCATGGGGGGCAGGCAATGCCCTGAGGGGGTCCTGCCCGCACAGAGAGGAAACACGAGCGCCTACCTGGAAAACGCAGCTCGGCGTCTGCCTCAGCCTGCCCGCTGACGRCTGTCCCTGCCGCGACGGACAGACGGACGGGCGGACGGACGAGGTGCTTGGGGTCATTCATGGCCCGGCCGGGTGGGGCGGCCTCAGCTCAAAACCCCGCCTAGCATCATGTCAAACCCTCCCGAGCAGGGATTCCYGAAGCCAGCTCCCTTGTACGAGCCTTCACGCGCTCTTCTGCGTGTGGACCCGCAAATCGCAGCCGTCTGACTTGTCTTTGAGTGCTAGCCAGGGCTTTGTTTGTTTTCTCTCCTCTTTCAAAAGTTCTTTGTGTCTCTCTGGCTCACTTAATAAGCTACAATACTCAGCGCCTCCGCTTTTAAAGTGCTGCCCAGAGCCAATCAGCTCTATCTCTTCCTGCAGGACAGCTGTGCAATGAGAATGGCTAGGCTGGAAAATGAAGGAGCTGACTGTCCTAGGATGAGTGTCAGGGATTCATCCAGCCGATGTGGAGAAAACCATCAGCAAGGACATAGTGGCTTGGGTTAATGGCTCTGATAGGGTTCACTCCTCGGTTTCGGCAGTGCCCTGCAGCCCACACTACCACAGATTTCCTCTTAGTGCTTGCACAGTTAGCTGCATTAARGTATCCTCTTCACAACACGTCAGCTTGAAGGATGGGTACCTGGGGCACAGAGTGAGGATGGCACTAGAGACTCACCAGTTGTAGGGACTATCACCAGGGAGTCTTTAGCAGACAAGAAGGGCAGGAAGCCTGAGAAAGTCATGCCTTGAGGATGGAGCAAGTGCCTCAGAGACTACTCGGGAGGAGTTGTAAGAAGACAGCCAGAAAAGTCACGCAAAGCCAAGAAAATAGGAAGAAACATGGTTTCAGATATTTGGAGCAGTTCTACTGAGTGCCCCTTTACATTGCACTTAAGTGGGTTGCCTGAGTTTTACTATTCTCATCCTTACCTTCCACCATGCAGTCTAACTGTGGGTTAAAATTGCAATTTKCAACCATGTGACAGGCTGTTGTAATTCATGTCTATTACATAACCCAGCAAATATTTTGCTAAAGTTCATTTAAATTGCAGGATTGACGGTGGTGAGGAACAGATTCTTTTACGACTTTTTCTCCTCTGARAATTAGAATAGTGGCATGCAAATGGTAGCTTTTCTTCTGATAGTCTAATACCAAGGGAAGGTATATACTCTATATGCTCTGCTTCACACCAAACATATTCTGGTTATCAAGAAAAAAGGTTTACATTTCTCTTCTCCCTCCTCCCTCCTGCTGTGGGACAGGGAACAGATCAGAGTGTAAGAGACAAGCATGGCACAAGTCAAGCAGAGAAACTGGAACAGTGAAGAAAGGAGGTAAGTTATCTCTAGAGCTAACTAGGTAGAGCCCAACTACCCTTAGCTGCTGTGCTAAGGTAACTTAGGTGTAAGAGAGGACATAACAGGGAAAGAAGGGAGACAAGAGAAGTCTTGCTGTTTAGCTTCACTTCGAGATTGTAGGTTGCTTGGCATACAATTCATGATCATTTACGGCAACTCTTTCCCAMTACCTCTTTTTCCCTCCTCCCTTTAATTTTACTCCTGCATTTCTGGTGCTGCTGATTCTGTGCAGCTCTCAGACTCTCAYATTTTCTCCAGCTCCTTCTCATCTGCAAAAGGATTGGAGCCCAACCCTGCTTCTTTCTTCTCATCAGGTTTCTCTGCCCTTTTCTATATTACAAAGAACCATTGTTGAAGACATAGAAGGTATGACTGTTGGGCAAGACCAGCAACTACTGCATATTTTACAACAGCATACTATCCAGCTCCTTCTGGAGCTGTTGGGATCATCGTTTTTGTGATTTTTTGTTGTTGTTGTTTTAGTCGGTGGTTGTTTTGGTTGTTTTCCTAATCACTGCTTTAACCCCCTCTTACTAAAGCTTTCAGTGTGGCCCAACTACCTTTTCCAGTTACACGAGTGTCAAGCTAGACTAAATCTGCTGGTGTAGTTGGGTTTGTAAGATATGACTGTACGTTCCATTGACTAGAGCAAAAACCAATGTCACCATAGTCAGCATCTTTCTTGCTATTGTTCCCAATATCAAAGATAGAATGTAGCCTGGGAATGGTGATACTGATCATCAGACTTTGAGTTGCATAATGTCCCTACATCAACCATCTCCAACTGCTTTACAGACATTAATTAAATATAGGAACCCAGTAAAGAAGAAGGTATTCATTTTCAGGGTGAGGCACTCAGAAAGGCAGTGATCTCAAAAGCAGATATCCAGGGTCCAGCCCTGCTTTGCGATGAAATCCCCCACTGTTTTATTAGTTCCTGGTCAGCAACAGGAGTCAACAGAACACTCCCCATCTCCTGTCCTTCTCCTACCATAACATTTATCCCATTGAGAAAATGGGCACCAGAAGCACTGRGTCTTCTCTGTGGCACAGTCATATCAAATCCAAAGGTAGATCTGGGATCAGTGGAAGAATTCTTTCTTCCTGTTAAGCTTAGTATTGGCAGAGAAGACCGTTACAGAAGAGAAACTGTGCTCTCAAGTGTGAATATCTGGGGCAAAACACTCTGGCATTGCCTTTGCTGTGGGCAATTTCCTCTTCCAGCCACTTCCAGCTTCCAGGCGGCAAGACTCCCAAATTTCTGGCAGTCTGGGGTGTATCTACCCTCTTCACACTACTGCTGAGCCCCAAAAGGCAGTACCAMGGTTGTTCATCAGTCCAAATGAGCACTGCTTAGGCACTGCCAGACTTTGAAAATACGACTGTTGTGAGCCTTGTCTTCTCTGTTTCCTTCTACAACCACAACACCTCTCCTGAAACAACTTGTGATGCTGCAATAGCTCAAAACATTCAGCTTCGTGTGGTGTGTCACGGACTTTTTAAAAAAGGAAAGTGAGTCTGGAAAACTTCCAAGGTTATGCAATGCGTTTGCCTCCTGTGCCTTAAGAAAATGGTGAAGGTAATGAGGCCATTTCCTTTACTGTTGCTGTTGCATAGAGGTATATTATGGTCTCTTGCTGGGCTAATCCATTGGTCATATCCCAGCTGCATGTTTCATTCAAAAAAGTCTGTGTTGAGGTGAGACAAAAAGCCGTGTGGCAGCTTCATTTTTTCTCTCTTAGGCGTTCTCTGAATGCAGTACTGGGTGTAGATAACAGAGTGCATGCTATAATTTACAATTAATTTACCACCAGAGTTTTACTAWTATTTTTCCCACAGTGATTTTACCAACTGGACACATTTCTTCCAACCTGTTCTGACAGAGGAACTCACACTGGTAGAGATCTAATGGTGCAATTGTACGAAAGAAAACCCTGCAAGCACAGCCAGTACTAATTACTCTAACCTCAGAATTGGAAGCCAACAACAGGGCTTGACTCTGAGCAGGGACACAGGCTATCAGCAATGAACTAAAGGAGAAACAGGAATGAAAGGTTACACTTGTGTGAGCCTCATGGCTGCAAAGATACCTTGGCATAAAATGAAGGTGTTATGCCAATCTTGATGTAGCAAGAGAGATTAAGACAACTATTTAGTAAGCAGAGAGAGTTCAGTATGGAAAATCAGAATCTTGTAGGCATTTAAAAACTTGTCTGTGCCTCATAAATAAGTAAGATTATTTAATTGCCTTGGTTGATGCAAAGATGTGGATATATACTTGAGAGATTGCTATTCCTTTGGTATTTGATAGATCAGTGGCACTAATTTTCTAGGAAGCTGTTCGAAAGCCCAGAGTGGTCAGTAGAAAGCCTCTTTTCCATGGCCTTTATCACAGGGTGGTCAGGGTGGAAGAAGCTCTCTCATGATAGTAAAGAGTAGGGAGATCCCAATGGGATATCTGCTATRTCCCAAATATTGCAGCCCAGCACATGGCAGGGATTCAGACTGCCGTGGGCAACTGTGCTGGCACATGATGTGGGAAGGAGCTCCAGGGACAGGGTTGGTACAGGAATAGGGGTGCACAGAGCMAGGACACTGGCGCTGGGAGTGCTGCACATGCTGGAAGTGCTGATCCGGGCTTATTTTGCAGCCGCGTCCCTGTACAGACAAGCCCAGCCTAGCTGTTTGCTTGGCTGTTTCTCTTGGCACAGAGTCCTCACATCGAACCGAGGGTGTCGTTTATCTCCCTCAGCAGCAGCCCTAGTCAGAACTAGTAGCAATAGTGAAGCCACTGAGGCTCTCGCTGGCAGAGGCTAAACCCAGACTCTGGCTTGCAGTCCTCATCCTCTTGCACAGGAACAAGGGTCCTTGAAAAATGCCTGCTGTAACCAGAGTTGCTTGGACAGAAGGTGATGGTGCATGAACTACTGGACAAATGCAACCCAAACTGAGGTTATTCATGGAGGAACGTCCTACCAGAGTCCGTCGGAGATCTCCAGACTTCCCCTTCACCGACRTTTTGAAGTGTTTCAGCTCATTTTGGTGTGTTCCTAGGTCATGTCTATTCCTCTTATGAATCAGAAAAGCTGGCAATCACYATATATTTTGCTGCCGGTACATATCACCTCTATTTCTTGCAGTTAGATGAAGAACAGCAATACTTTATTCCTCACTGGGTGGACAAATAAAGCTTTGTTGAGTGAGGGATTTTGTCCGGTTGATGTTTCTTTTCCACTTGATGCTAATCCAGCACCAAAATGGCCAGCGCGCACCCACTGGAAATGGAAGTGTGAAATTAATAGCCAAAATAAAGACTCATGAAACAATTCTGGAAAGAGGGAGAACAGTGAGAACCGAGAAGTGTGATTTCCTGAGCCTGATTCACAATGCTGGCAAGCAGCTCTGTGTCACAGTCAAATGAATCAGATTCTCTTTCAGTCTGTGCTGGCACCGTGATTATTTAGGCGTAACTATGGTCRGAATTGCCATATATTTGGGAAGCATCATTGGACAGAAGGTCCAACAGACACCATGGTTTGTCTGCTGTAACTGAGCTGGCTTGTGCTATTTTAATGCTATACACACCACAAGAGGCAAGAAAGGGAGAATGAAATATGATGGTACCTTGGGTCACAGCCTCTTTGCAAGCCGGGGAGGTTGCTCCTCACACGAGCCGAGACTGGCTCCCGCAGAGCTTGTTTATCTCTGTCTCGTAATGGG